TGTGGGTGATGTGTTCCTATGGCAGGGGCAGGGTAATTGCAAGTGGCATTGTGCCGTGATAATAGCTTAGTTCTCTCTGTAGGGGACCCCTGGTGTAACCATCCCCCTACTTCTAGTGGGAAAGAAGCCTGGGGGGCGCAGGATCTGTCTGAGCATATCTCCCTCTCCTAGCTTTAGGTTAACTGAAAGTGGAGTCATTGTAATGTATGATAGTGCTCTTCCGCGACAGGCATGTGCCCAGTAAGAGAAATAGGAAGGCCTTGAACTCTGGGAGAAAGCTCCATCTAGGGACTACGTATCGTGGAGAATTGACTTCTTAGAGGTTATCTAACCCTCCCAAGTGGATCACAGGCTGCTCTTACCTCCAAAGCAGACTCTGTATAGAATTCTCTCTCTCTCTCTTTTTTTTTTTTTTTAATAGAGATGGGGTCTCACTATGTTGCCCAGGCTGGTCTCAAACTCCTGGGCTCAAGTGATCCTCCTTCCTCAGCCTCCCAAAGTGCTGGGATTACAGGCATGAGCCATTGCACTTGGCCTAGAAATCTTTTTTTTTTTTTTGAGACGGAGTCTCACTCTGTTGCCCAGACCAGAGTGCAGCGGTGCAATCTTGGATCACTGCAACCTCCACCTCCCAGGTTCAAGCATTTCTCCTGCCTCAGCCTCCTGAGTAGCTGGGATTACAGGCACCCGCCACCATGCCCGGCTAATTTTTTTGTATTTTTAGTAGAGACAGGGTTTCACCATTACTGGCCAGGCTGGTCTCAAACTCCTGACCCTGTGATCTGCCCATCTCAGCCTCCCAAAGTGCTGGGATTACAGACATGAGCCACTGCGCTTGGCCAGGAAGTCTTTAATATTCTAATAACCATATGCTTGTGTGAAATCTTTTTTTTTTTTTTTTTGAGACCGAGTCTCGCTCTGTTGCCAGGCTGGAGTACAGTGGCGTGATCTTGTCTCACTGCAACCTTCGCCTTCTGGGTTCAAGCGATTCTCCTGCCTCAGCCTACTGAGTAGCTGGGACTACAGGCACATGCCACCATGCCCAGCTAATTTTTGTATTTCTTAGTAGAAGTGAGGTTTCACCATGTTGGCCAGG